ACTGACTTCGGGACTGGAAAATACCCCTTCCAGTCTCAGCTGCTGCTCTCCACTTGGCCCCAGTGCTCTCAGGTGATGACTGCTGGCACTTTGAAGGCCTCCTGTGCTCACACCCATCAGATGCTTCCTCCTGTCTGACACTCCCTCTGGTGCGGATGCTGAGACCAGGCAGGTCTGTGCCTGGTGGTGGTTGTCTGCTCCACCCTCTTAATTTGGGGTTCCTAGTTTCATGGTAAATGCTACCCGTGGACATTCAGTTTGGATTATCTAAGCCATGAGAGGATTTGGGGAAGTTAAAAAACAATGCCACTGCCTCAATCTTTCTCAAAATCTGCTCCAGCCTTTGACATGATTATTTTAAATGCAACAGCCCTGAAATGATCAGCCTCCCAAAGCAGAGCTGCAGAGCCCATCTGCCCTACCCTCGTAGGACTCGGGGTCAGACAAGGCTTTCTGAGTCTCCTCTGTCTAAGATGGCACCTCATGTTTGTATTTGCTCAGACTATGGTTTAAATAAGAAGGCAAAACACAGCTACCTGAAAGGCGCATGGGTAGAGGGACATTTGGCCACCATGAGAGGGGGAATGAGCCTGTGGGCAAGAATGCATATCTTTTCTTTTCCTCTTTCCTTCTTTTTGTCTTTCCAAGTATGCTTACAACTCATTTTCCCAACTAGATTTTTTTTTTTTTTTTTTTTTTTGTGATGTGAGATACCAATCTTCAAACAAACTATAGGTGGAGCTCTAAACCTCAGATTCATGTTCCTGTTACTGGTTTTACTGTAGCCTTTTTCTCATTTTTTTTTTTTTTTTAATATATATTTTATTGATTTTGTACAGAGAGGAAGGGAGAGAGATAGAGAGCTAGAAACATCAATGAGAGAGAGTCATCGATCAGCCGCCTCTTGCACACCCCCCACTGGGGATATGCCTGCAACCAAGGTACATGCCCTTGACCGGAATCGAACCCGGGACCTTTCAGTCCCCAAGCCGACGCTCTATCCATTGAGCCAAACCGGTCTCGGCTGTAGCCTTTTTCTCAAGGAACTTCTTCATCAGCTAATTTCAACTCCAACAGAAAAGGAACATATATGCAGTAGTAAGCCACAGGTGTAAAAGTTCCCAGTACACTTTGCTGTATCTCCCTGATTTTGAAAAGCTCATCCCACATCCTTTTCTTCCCAAGTATTTCCTTTTCAAATTGTATTTGTTATTTTATATTCCCAATGGGTTAACAGCAAAAGTTTTAACAACACAGTCTGTTTTTAGTACACATTCCATTTCTGCTTTCAGAGCACCCCGATTCCCTAGTAATGGTCAAGATGGGCTGTATTTGTGTCTCAATGCATTGAGCTCACCTAGTGTCTCCTTGAGAAGCTTAATCGTCTTTAAAATTTTTTTTCCCCTTCTGGTGGCTCTAAGTATTCATCCGTGAAGGCCTTTAAAAAAACAGGTAAAATGAGTTTTTCATTATTAAGGCACAGAAATAATGAAATAAGAAGTATAGAAATAAGAGTTTTGAAGACACAGAAGAGTTCCCTTTACAATTACCTTCCAAGAGAACATCAAGGAGAATCAACAGTGGATCTTAGCACTGGGCATGCATATTTATGCTTGTAAAGAGGAAAGAATCTGCTAAGTGCTTTCAGCCATTAGTCTGAAAAAAACCAATGACCACACAGAATCACTTCAGAGAAATTCATGAGAAATATACACAAAAGGGAGTGAGAAAAATTAGAGATCTGGATGCTTGCCTGGTGGAAGAAGTAACCTCTGTGCAAAAGCTTTAAGCTAGATTTTTAAAGACAGGTCTTGTAATTATTAACAAATGTACAGGGAGGCTCCCAAAATTGGAGGCAGGTAAATTGGAGGGGAGTAAAGTATCCCCAAGAGAGCTAAACTTTAAAACCAAAGTATAAAGTTTCAATGGTGATATACAAAGTCACCTGAGAGAGAATATCTAGAAGGCTTGTAGGACTCCTTTGGAAAGAGAGTGCATATATGCATACATTCACACATCTACACACAGAATATGTCACTGTTTCTATATGGTGTAAGTAGCCATATTGTGCTGGGCATAAGGGCAGAAACTACCTCATACAGATATCTGTGTCCCCATTGCTTTGGACAATGACCCTTAGAAGTAAAACACTTATTTAAAAAAAATATTTTATTGATTTTTTACAGAGAGGAAGGGAGAGAGGGGTAGAGTTAGAAACATTGATCAGCTGTCTCCTACACACCCCGCTAATGGGGATGTGCCCCCAACCAATGTACATGTTCTTGACCGGAATCAAACCTGGGACCTTTCAGTCTGCAGGCTGATGCTCTATCCACTGAGCCAAACCGGTTTAGGCTAAACGCTCATTTTCAATAAACTTTATTGGTGCTCTCACATTAAAAATTAGTCTCAATGTTCTCTTCTAGGCAATATAAGCAATTGCCTAATACCGCCAACCATCAGTTTTGTGTAGAAACGAGCACAAACAAGCTGAACACTTGAGGAGTTTTATTTCCCCTGATTTAGAAACCCTGGCTAGGTTAGCCAGGTAGGTACTCTGGATCAGCAATCCTTCCTTGAAATGCTGGGGTTGTTTGTGGTTTGTGTGAGTGTGATAGAGGAGCTGTAGGACAAGAAGCCCCTTCCAAAAATCAAAACGATTCTAAAAACAAAAGTTATCTTGGCCATGGGTTCCTTTAACTCCTTAGTTCCCCTTCTTCCCCGTTGCTTTCCTTTACCAAGATGGCCGCCGAGCTCTCTCTCCTCCCGCCCATCAGCTAGCCCCGCCCCTTCCGCCCTACATTCCTGGGAATGAAATGAAACAAGCCAGTGGGAGTGGGCGGGGCGGATGCCGGATGTGACGTTTGCGGAAGTCCGAGTGCGGTCCACAGGGACAGGTGGGGAGAGGTCCGGTGCCCGGGCTCTGAGCGGGGTCTGACTCACGGGGAGCAGCCGCTGTGAGTGTGGGGTCTGGAGCCTTCGCCTCCCCCGCCCCGGCCCCCTGCCGGGCCCGCGCGCGAGGCCCGCGCCGGCTCCCTTCCCCAGCCAGGCCCGGCGTGTCCCGGCTGCTCGCACTCCAAAGACCCGGAGACCTTGGATGATTTTGTGTCCCGGGTTGGCCCCTTGGGCTTGAGTGTCTGCAAGGAGGAGGAGGAGGAGGCCTGAGGAAGTTGTCAGGGGGTTCCTGTCCACTCCCCTCCGCCCACTCCTGCTGCTGCTTTTCTCCTCCTCCTGTCTCTCCTTCCCAGCCCTCTGCGACACCTTCCCCCGTTGTGCGGATGCTGAGCTCCCCTCTGGAGAGTTGCTCGGCCCGGTAGTACACGCATCGCTTGCTGGCCTCAAGAGGAGGTTGCATTCGCGACTCAGAACATCCTCTCCCGAGAGGTACTGAGGTGTAACAAGCATCCTCTGCGTCCGTTAGCTGTAATGGTCCTGGGCTGAGTGTACTAATTAGGCAAGTTGGGGCGAGCTTTTAGGTATGTGGGTGGCTTTCTGAGCCCCTAAAAAGGCCTTGTGGGAGGTGGCATGCCTTGCATCCCTGGTAGTACCCACAGCTTTCGTGCTATTAATGAGGGTGTTATAGAAAGGAAGCTTAATGGGAGGAAATGTGACCTAGAGTTAGAATTGGCCAGGTGAGAGCTATCTCTGAGAACAGAGGTTGGAGTGGGAAAGGAAACTGGAATGGGAGGATTTCTGGGCAGATCAGAATCCTGACTGAAGCAAATGATCTCCTTTGGGAACGGGGAAGGTTTACGATTGAAAAGACAAAATGGGACCAGTTGGCACAGGGCCTTGAATTCCAAAAAGCCACGCTACTATAGTTTGTTTATTCTAGACTCTAGAGCAGCTGGTTAGGATGTGCTATAATTCAGTGTGTATCAAGTACCCAGAGTCTTTTTGGAAATGGTGTAGAGCTGTGGTTGGCTACTGCGGCTTGCGAGCCACATGCTGCTCTTTGGCCCCTTGAGTGTGGCTCTTCCACAAAATCCATGTCCTGGGCGAGTCTATTTTGAAGAAGTGGCGTTAGAAGGAGTTTAAGTTTAAAAAATTTGGCTCTCAAAAGAAATTTCAGTCGTTGTCCTGTTGATATTTGGCTCTGTTGACTAATGAGTTTGCCGACCACTGGTGTAGAGTAGAGTGACATCTGATGGGAAGCTGGAGTCTGATTCTCACAGCAGCGGTAACTAGAAAGGTTGTAGAGTTAACTGCAGTGTGAGACCCAGGGAGGAAAAACTCCCAGGTTTTTTGCTCCCAAGTTAACCTTGTGCCCTTTTGTTATTCAAAGAGTGCTTAGTCTTTGAAGATAGATTTGAGTAAATTGTTTTCAAGACCTAAATTCCTTTCCCTGAATATGATGAATGATGTAGATTGACTGAAATAGTGGTTTGGTGAGCAAAGTTAGGATTATGAGCATACATCCCCAGACCAGTTTCCCTAACTAGCCTTGTGCTCCAATATGAAAAAGCACACCACAAGGAAATGTCAGTTATTCTCAGACTGAATAAAAAGAATCAGACTTGAAGTCAGTTTAACATCATGGAAGTTCACTAAGTGTACTCTGCCAGCTACCAGGGGAGATGGGAATAAGTAGCTGGAAGGAGAAATAATGCCAAAAATATAAGGTGCTGCCCCTCCTTTGATGGTGCTGAGAACAGGACCACTTAATGACGGAGTAATTAGTATGAAGGGTAGAACAGAATCCCCTGTGGCCCATTATCATTATATTCCTTGAACCACCTAATAACGGCACAGGAACTGGGTTTTTGAGTCTGCCAATCTCATCATTGTGATATAGGCTTCCTTGAGGGTCTCAACCTTCTTGTGGGAATGAGACCTTATTTGATACGAGCCATAGCATATGGTATTGTTCTCTGAATGTCTTCATAAGTCAGAGGCTTGTGGAATAAACACACTATGTGCTAGGTTGTGCTGGGATGATATGGGCCATGATGTTGATGCCATCCCTTTTCTCTTTTCTGTCTCAGAACTTCTTGGTGATGATGTGTGACCATGGAGACAGAAGCCTCGCTCCCGAAGACCGGGTGAGGGCTCTCTCCCAGATGGGTAGCTCAGTGGAGATAAACGAAGACATTCCACCCCGTCGGTACTTCCGCTCCGGAGTCGAGATGATCCGAATGGCATCCATTTACTCCGAGGAAGGCAACATTGAACATGCCTACATTCTCTATAACAAGTACATGACGTAAGACACCTCCAGGTTCTTTTTCCGGTGACTGATGCCTCACTCACCCTGCTTCTGTGCTCATTTATTTGTTCAGAATTGCTAAAACTAGAGAACTTTACGTCGTCACTAGCATTAATCATTTGTGCTGGTGGCTCCTACATATTGGCTGTCCTTGACATTCAAAGACATGAGTACTGAAAGTGCTGTTGTCATGACTCAGTAATTTCATGAGTAAGAGACTGATTCTTTGGCTGTGCCCACGTGGCCCAGCTGTTAGTCAAGAGAGTTGGTGGTTAAACCGTACCTGTTTGGTACTGATGAATGTTTTTCCTCTCCTCTCTCTGTTAATCATGGGATTAATGCTGAGGAATTACTAATATTCCTCACCTCAGTTTATTTTGTGGCAAATGGAGTGATTCAGGAAAAAGTTTTTTTTCTTAACTTTGTTTTTTAACCATTCTGATGCAAATCATCAAATAAGTATTGACTACCTACAGTTGTGTGGCTCCCTTTAGTTGCTTAGCATCTTAGGTAGGTAGGCAGCATAAATAAAATAAATTCTGTACAGCTAACAAGGAGTAACTCCTAAATCCTCAGTCATAGTGAAATGATATGTAATTTAGGAAGGAAATAATGTTAGAGGGTCTCCTATATAATTCCTAGTCTTCTTTGAAAATACCAGGGCCTTTTTAAAAATAGTAATTACAGTATATTTGTATGGCTCTTAATAGTTCATAGAGTATTTATTTAAAACATATATTTTATTGATTTTTTTACAGAGAGGAAGAGAGAGGGATAGAGAGTTAGAAACATCAATGAGAAAGAATCATCGAATCAGCTGCCACTGGGCATGTGCCCGCAACCAAAGTACATGCCCTTGACTGGAATCAAACCTGGGAGCTTTCAGTCTGCAGGCGACGCTCTATCCACTGAGCCAAACCGGTTTCGGTTCATAAGAGTTTTTAACCTGCATTATTTCATTTGATCTTCACAGTTCTGTGTGCATCCTTTAGTAGTGTACATTCTCCTCCCATTCTACAAATGAGGTAACAAACTCAGGGTTTAGGAATATGCTTTGTTCAACAGTTTGGAGAGACAAAACCCAATGTAGGTTCTGTTCTTTTTGTTTTTCCTTTTGGCAATGTTCTGTTGGTTTGGTTTTTGCTTGTTTTTGTTAATCCTCACCTGAGGATGTTTTCTGAAGGGCCTTCTGAGTTCTATTGCCTGACATAGGAAGTACTTTGAGGGCAAGGACCATCTTCATTCAACAAATACATATTGTGGCCAAAACCGGTTTGGCTCAGTGGATAGAGCGTCGGTCTGCAGACTGAAAGGTCCCAGGTTCGATTCCAGTCAGGGACACGTACGTTGGTTGCGGGCACATCCCTGGTAGGGGGTGTGCAAGAGGCAGCTGATCGATGATTCTCTCTCGTCGATGTTTCTAACTCTCTATCCCTCTCCCTTCCTCTCTGTGAAAAATCAATACAATATATTTAAAAAAAAAAAAAACCAAAAAAACCCAAATATACATTGTGTATACCTATATGTACTTGGCACTGTGCTAGGACCTGGATAACTTAGTAGGTAAAATGGCCCCTACCTTTATGGGTGTACCTTTTTTGTTATGGGAGAAGACAATAAAGAGAGAATCAAATAGTAACTATATAGTCACAAAGTGGGAAAAATGCTATGAAAGCAACAGAGAGTGCTGTGACTGAGAATAAGCAATATCTAATTAAATAGGTAGTCAGGGTAAAGTCCGTCTGAGAAGATGAGATTAAACTGAGACTTGAGGGATACAGTAGAGCTGGTCATGGTGTTTGGAAGAATGGCTCCAGAGGAGGTCAGAGAGTTAGGAAGGACCAGATCTTGTAGAACCTTATAGGTTTGTGTTTTATCTCGAGAGCAATAGAAAGCCATTGCAATGTGTTAAGTGAAGTTGTGACCTAATCTTATATCTTAAAAATATAAATTTTGGCTGCTGCGTGGTGAATGGTGGAGTATTGAGAGAAGGCAGGGACTTAGTCAGGAAGCAGAGCCATTCAGGAGCGGGCTAGTGGCTTGAAGGGACATGGATGTGGTGTACTGGAGGTAGAGTTCATGGGACTTACTTATATTTTGAGAAAGATGATAGTGTAAAGATTGACCTAGGCTTTCTTCCATTTGTAATTTAGAACGAGGTGGTCTATTTACTGAAATGGGAAGAATGGTGTTGAAAAGGGGAGATTCAAGAGTTTAGGTCTGAGGTTTTTTGTTTTTGTTTTTTTGTTTTAATATGTTTTTATTGATTTTAGAGAGAGAGGAAGGGAGAGGGATAGAGAGATAGGAACATATCGGCTGCCCCCCACCAGGGATAGAGCCCACAACCGGGCATGCACCCTGACTGGAAATCTGTCCAGTGACCTCTTGGTTCCTGAGTCGACACTCAACCACTGAGTCATAACCGTCCAGGCCTGGGTTTTCTTTGACATGTTAAGATGTTAAATTTGAGATGCCTGTGAGATATCCAAGTAGAGATGTCCAGTAGGAAGTTGAATGTACCCGTCTGAACCTAGAGAAGTCTAAGTTGGAAATACAAGTGCCAGAGTCCTCAGCACACGGTGGATCTGAAGCCATGAGAACCACGGAGACATTCTAGCACAGATGTCGTTAATCTGGAGCCAGGAACCCACAGGGATTCAGAGCTAGAACTTGGTGTCTATGAACTTGGTTGGGAAAAACTTTCCTTAATTTTACTAACCTCTAACTGAAATTTAGCATTGTCCTCAATTTTGAATATAGACCTCAAATGATAGTAGTATTAATAATATAGGCATACCTCGAAGATATTGTGGGTTCAGTTCCAGACCACTGCAGTAAAGCAAATCATGCAATAAAGTGAGTCACATCAATTTTTTAATTTTCCAGTGCATATGAAAGTTATGCTTATACTATACCTTGCTCTAGTAAGTGCAATAATAGCCTTATGTCTAAAAAAAAAACCAAACCACAATGTACATACCTTAATTTAAAAATACTTTATTGCTAAAATTGCTAGCCATCATCAGAATCTTCAGCCACTTATTTTTTTTTTAATATATATTTTATTGATTTTATACAGAGAGGAAGGGAGAGAGATAGAGAGTTAAAAACATTGATGAGAGAGAATCATTGATCAGCTGCCTCTTGCACACCCCCTACTGGGGATATGCCCGCAACCAAGGTACATGCCCTTGACCGGAATCGAACCCGGGACCCTTCAGTCCCCAAGCCGACGCTCTATCCATTGAGCCAAACTGGTCCCGGCGTCTTCAGCCACTTCTAATCTTTTTGCTGGGGGAGGGTCTTGCCTCTATGAAGCACACTAAAATGAGGCATGCCTGTATTTGTAATTTTGTCACCAATAGAAATCAAGATATTGTCATATCACATAATTTTTACTGCTATCTCAAGGTAGCATTTACACTTAATATCACCTCATAATTATAGTACAGAGTTATTAAATCTGTGACAAGATCCTGTTTTTTAATGTATAATAACACTACATTAATAAATGCATTTAAAAAGATCACCTTAGTAAAGAAGCACATGTCAAAATTTTTCATATTTTGAAAATAATATTTCAGTAGAATTGGCTTCTTTAGTAATTCTTTGTATTTTATTCATTCATTCATTTATTTATTTCATTAGTTATATCTTTGAAAAGATTCTGAGGAGGAATCATCATCTGTAGGCTTCATCAGATGCCAGAAGGATCTGTAGCACATAAAAGGATCAGAATCCTGGAAAATGAGACTATAGAATGAGAAAAGGGGTCGGGACTGAGCCCTGAGGTTGGTTAGTGGAGGGAGGGCAGGCAAGGGAGACTTTGAAGGAAAGTTCGAGAGGCAGGAGGAAGTCCAAGTGAGAGTGGCACCTGAGTCAAAAGAGGTCAGTGTTTGCAGAGAGGAGCCAGCTGGGTCAGATGGGTGAGGATTTGGATTTGGTAACATGATGTCATTGGTAATAAGCAATTTTCATTAGAAGGATTAAAGAAATACTTGATTAGAGTGGGTTGAATGGTGAATGAGCATAAGAAAGTAGAGACAGTGAATATACCGTGATTAGACTTTTTGTAAAGAAGTAAATATTTTTGGCTTCACAGGCCATTTGATCTGTTTTGTAGTGTGAAAACAGCCATAGACAGTACATGAATGAAAGGGTATGCCTGTGTTTCAATGAAACTTTATTTACAAAAACAGATGGTGATCTGGATTTGACCCACTAGCACAGTTTTGCCAAGACCTGGCATAGTCAACTCTTTGTAGAAGTTTGGGTAGGAAGTAAAGTGGAAAAATGAGGAAGTAATTGAAGGGGGACAAGGACTGTATAAAAAATGCGGTGTGTGTTTTAAGATGGGAGGCTCTAGAGTATCTTTTTTGCTATGGAAAAGATACTGTGGAGGAGAGGCTGCTGTTACAGAAAAGAGAGCGTTTAACTGTAGCAATAAACTACTAATTAGGCAAATGGGTGGTAAGATTAAGAGGACAGGGATTCTCGCCCTGAGGTTGAGCGTCGACCTATGAACCAGAAGGTCACGATTCAGTTCCTAGTCAGGGCACATGTCCTGGTTGTGGGCTTGATCCCGAGAGTGGGGCATGCAGGAGGCAGCTGATCAATGATTCTCTCTCATCATTGATGTTTCTATCTCTCTTTCACTCTCCCTTCCTCTCTGAAATCAATACAAAAATATGTATTTTAAAATGAGTACAGGGGTTCTTAAGAAATTGATATTTTCTGACTTGATGTTACTTTGAGTGGCATGTGTTAACAGCGAGACTGATATGGGGAGTCTGTCCCCGTATAGGGTTCCCCTTATAATATGATGAATTAGAGGAGAGTTGAATGAGAGAAAGGTGGTTTGTGGCAGCTCATGTACTTGATTTGTTCAATTAGGGATATAATTTGGGATTTTGTTGGATGGGCTTGACCGGGATCAATAAATGTAGCTACCTTTATTTTTCTTACAGATATCATTAAGACCCTAAATCTGATTCTTGAAACAACAGGCCCTAAGGGTAGGAAAAATGTTCTAGTTCTATCTCATTCTGTTTTTCTGCTGCGTTTTACTTGGTCTGTTCCTGTCAGTAACAATGGCTCACTTTGGCTATTATTACAACTGAGGAGAAAGGAGGCAGGGGGGCAGGCATTCACGTCACCACTCCTCTGCCTCCCCCACTATTGAGAGTCATTGTTCTTGTTCTAGACCTTTTGTGGATCCTTTAATTCGGGAATTTAAAAGGTATGTTTGTTCTTTTCCTTGGAGCAGTTCAGGCATCTGAGTGATCTCAAGCACATTCCCCGCCTCAGAGGTTTTCCCTGCTGCAGGAATGCTTTGCCTTTTGCAGACCCTGGGGTAGAAGAAAGACCTTCAGCATATTAAAGCAGCACATACTTTCATGATGAGCACAGACAGTAATCCAGGCAGTGGATTCTTTCACAGCTTTTTATGGTCATTGACCAGGCTACATAGAAGGGAGTTACAGAGGACTTAAGCAATTCCTGTCTGCTCTCTGAGCTCCTGAAACACAAACCCACTTTCTGAAATGGCCTGTCACCTGTCCTGAAAAGAGTTACTACTGGAATTGGGGTTTATAAACCAAAGAGGTCTTTGTCTCTGATTATGCTCACTTTGCTGATTAACTTTTTAAGATTGGAAGAAATGAAATGAGAGTCATAAAACATTCATGTTATGTAATTTCTGCTTGACTTTTTGAATTAGTTATTTTTATACAAATTAATATTTGTTCAGGATTAAACTTTTTTTCCAAAACATACAGCAAGGGAGATATTAAAATGAAAAGTCTCATCTACCATAGGTAACTACTGTTATATACTAGAAAATGTTTATGTCCGTGTGAGCACATGGGCTCACATGTTTCTCCTTGTTTCTCAAAGCATGAATGAAATCATACAATATACTTCGTTCTACAACTTGCTTTCTTAACAGTCCTACCTATCTTTCCATATCAGGACATTCTGATTCATCTCACTTTGCCTCAGGGCTATTTCTTCTGCCATATCTCTTCATGGCTCTCTCTCCTCCAGTTCTCACCAAAATGCCACCTTGCCAGTGATGCCCTTAGCTGACCAATCTAAAACCTTAACCCCGCACCCCCCTCCTCCCCCCATTACCCACTTCCCTTTTCTAGCAATGACTTTTCCTCGCACCGATTATCTACATACTTTTTGTTTTGTTTGTTGTCTGTCCCCCCACTGTAATGTATACTTTTTGGGGAGGAATTTGTGACTGTCATTCACTGTCAAATCCCTAGCCTTTACAGTAATGCCTGACCCCATAGTCGATGCTCTATTGGGGTCGATGCTCTATTTGTTGGATCAGTGGATGGGTGATTATGTTATTTATCACATTTGGGTACACCATAATTTATTGAATAAACCTGACTATGGCATTTAGTTTTCTAATTTTCCCTGCTTTTATAAATAATGCTATATAAAATAATCTTATACATATACCCTTTACTATTGTATAGGATACACTCCTAGAAGTAGAATTGTGAGTTTAAAGGATAAACACATTTTGAATATTTAATAGTTGTATCCCACCCCCCACCCCCTTCCCTAAGGAAAAAAACAATAGTATCAAATTATAGTCCTGCTAGGAGTGTATAAGGACACTCATTTTCCTGTATCCTTGCCTAACTAGTTGTAATGAACCTTTAAGACTTTGCCAAGCTGAAAGATGAAAATGATACATTAATTTCAATTACTTTCATGATTGAAAGTTGAATACCATTTTATATTTATTCACCGTTTGTATTTACTTTTCTCTTTATCTCTTTTCCCCACATTGTTTTATTAGGTGGTTTTTCCTGTGTTTTTGCCAATGATTCTCTTTGTTTTGGTACATATCCTCTCTCCAGGCTGTAACCAGAGCACACCCCAGAGAACAGTATACATCTGGGCCACAGCTCTTCTATGCCTTGAACGTTTCTAGCTGTAGGGCTGATATCTTCATCTATTCTTCTTGTTCATATCTTTTATTTGTTTATTTATTAGTAAAAACAGTCATATGAGTACTTAGCAGATGTTAGCTATATGTTAGGCACTGTGCTCAGTTCTTTATTTTTGTTATCTCTTTAAGCATCACAGCTATCCTATCAGGTGGTATTATTTTTCTCCATTTCTATAATTTATACACACACACACACACACACACACTGAAGAATGGTGAGATTGAGTAATTTGTCTGAGGTCACAGTAAATAGCCAAGCCAGGATTGAACCGGTGCAGGATGGCTCCAGAGCCTGTCCTCCGAACCACTAAGTTCTCTTTCCTCCAGTATGGGAAGGGGGTTATGTTGCCCAGACTCTGCTTTCAAGAGTCCCTTCTGCCCATACGTCCCCATTCAGAAAATGGACAACAGTTGAAACAAGAGAAAGGTATTCATGTATAGGTCAGAAAGTTTTATCCTTACTTATAAACTAGGTTCTACTACTCCCACTGTTGTCTCATCCACCTTCTTTCCCTTGCCCTCTACTTTGATTAGTTACTGTATATACTTCTTGTATTTCTTTAGATTTTTATAAGTGGAATAAAGAGATATACATATATATCATTGTCCCCTTTCTTACAAGGAAGCACACCATATGCACTTTTTATTTACACTTGGATTTTTTTCATTTAGCTCCTCCAGAAGTGTAAGTCCATTCTATTCATCAGATCGTTATTGAGTGCCTCTTTCTACAAGGCCCTGTATTGGTGTTAGAGGAATGTACAAAGAGGCATGAGACAGAAATCTCTCGGCCTTGGTTGTATGTCTCTTCCTTCAGGTTGTATGTAATACATAGAACATGAACATATTACGTACCGGTATTGTCTAAGCTTCTCGGTACTTATATGATGCAAGGAATATTTCTTGAAGGAGCATGGATCCCAAAGGAAAACAAGCCAACGATAAAGGTCACATGGGGCTGCGAGTAGAAATAGAACATGGGTTTTCCTTTAGCTTCCTGCCCTTGGCTGCTAAGCGCTTCTCTGAAGGATTATTTGTGACTGAGATCCTTTCATTGGGAAGCCGGAATGTCTTCCAGCAAGAAAAGAATGTCTCTGGCAGTGTGTTTTTGGGCAGAGGATAGGCTCCCCTCCCCCTGCCTCCATATTTTTGTTGTGGGGGTTCGGTCCTGGCTGCTGCGGGCCTGGTTTGGGAGAAAAGAGAGACTCTCTGTTGCTGTTTATAGGCTGGAGGTGGGCGGGGGAACATGGCCTGCCGGATGGGCCTGTTCCTCCTCGCCTGCACATCTGGACCCCGTCATGCAGTGGCTGCAGGAAAGGGAGGTGCCTTGCTTCGGAGTCTTTGGACATTTCTCTGTGTCCTCACCGTTCTGATCTGTTTCCTTAGGCTCTTTATTGAGAAACTACCCAAACATCGAGATTACAAATCGGCTGTCATTCCTGAAAAGAAAGACACGTTAAAGGTGGGTCTTCATTTTCATTGGTGCCCATCTAACAGCTTTGCAGTGGCACACACTGACCTCAGGGTATAGTAGTAATGGCTGCATCTGAGCATCAAATCCTGCAATAGGAGATGAGGCCATTTCATCAGATCAGTGTGAAACAGCAGGTAGGGTACCGTAGGGAGTATTTTAAATTGTTTTTGGAAATATTGTTGCACCTGCCAACTTGACTTTTCTATTTAATTAGCTTGGACTTGTTCTAATTTTCAGTATTTCTGTCTATCTCAGAAATTAAATGAGATTGCGTTTCCCAGAGCAGAACAGCTGAAGGCAGAGCTGTTAAAACGATATACCAAAGAATACACAGAACATAATGAAGAAAAAGTGAGTATATAATAATTAAAAAAAAGGAAATTAATTTGTTTTCTTAGGCTGTACCCTTTGATACTTTACTATTTTTGGCAAAGACCAGAACTCAGAAAAGTAGAACGCAAGTGTGTAGGCTGAGTGTTCTAACACAGATTTAGCCTGCCTGTCTACCTGTTTGAAATAATAGATTGCTTTTTCCAAGCCGTTTTCAAATCAGTCTTTCTAGGAAGAGTCAGTTCAAGCTCGCGAAGGAGCTCCCAGGCGCCTTCGGTGGTCGGTGTCAGTGCGCGTGCTCCCTGCAGGCGTCCACGTTGTGCTGCAGCGCTTTGCTGAGCTCTGTTCTGGACTCTGCTGAAAACCAGCAGAGAGGCGAACTGTTATGAGGCATATATTCATTTTTTAATCCTCACTGGAGGATTTTTTTTTTTCATTGACTGACTTTTTTTGAGAGACTAGAAGGGAGAGAGGGAGGGGATGAGGGAGGAGAGAGAGAGAAAGAGGAGAGAGAGAGAGAGAGAGAGAGAGAGAGAGAGAGAGAGAGAGAGAGAGCGCGAGCGCGAGCGAGACAGACATCTATTGGTTGCCTTTCAAATGAGCCCCAACTTGGGCTGGAGATCAAACCTGCAACCCATGTATGTGCCCTTGAGTGGGAATCGAACCTGCAACCCTTTGGTACATGGGCCAACCTCTAACCACTGCTCAGGGGTTTCACCTGCCAGAGCTGTGAGGCATATATTTCTAAGGCATTGAGTGAGTGAAAATCTTAATGGGGGATATTAGTACTTAATATTTCCTATTCACTAAAAGTGTCACTCTGTATTGAACTGACCATCAGAACATTTCAGAGATTTCATTTTGGATTAAAATTCAATAGAAACCGCTGAGACTGGTTTGGCTCAGTGGATAGAGCGTCAGCCTGCGGACTGAAAGGTCCCAGGTTCGATTCCGGTCAACCATGTACCTTGGTTGCGGGCACATCCCCGGTGGGGGTGGTGCGAGAGGCAGCTGATTGATGATTCTCTCTCATCAATGTCCCTAACTCTCTGTCCCTCTCTCTTCCTCTCTGTAAAAAAAAAAAAAAAAAAAAAAAAAAAAAAAAAAAAAAATCAATAGAAACCCCAACATAGCAGGTATGAGTTTGGATTTGGTTCTGTTTTATAGCCTTACTTGGGATATAGAATAAATGCATGGCACAGTTAGAGAATAAAACTGTATATGATACCAGTTATGAAATGCAGACAGTAAGTTGCATCACGATTTCAATAAAGAAGAAAATACATTAGTTAGAGTCATTGGGAAGGGTACTGAGAGGAATGGGAGAAGAATGGGTATATGGTGGCTAGATAGACAGGAGCGGGTGACTTATATGGGTGTAGAGGTACGCAGGGAGCATGAATCCTATGTTGGAAAATCAGGCCAGAGCAGAAGTACATTTTGGGAAATCCCCCTGCTGAATAGCCTTGTCCTCCTATTCTTTCTTTTTAGAAGAAGGAAGCAGAGGAATCTGCCCGGAACCGGGCCATCCAGCAGGAGATGGAAAAGGAAAGGCAGAGGGTGGCACAACAGAAGAAGCAACAGCTGGAGCAGGAACAGTTCCATGCCTTTGAGGAGATGATTCGGAACCAAGAACTAGAAAAAGAGCGGCTGAAAATTGTGCAGGAGTTTGGGAAGGTGGACCCTGGCCTCGGCGGCCCACTGGTGCCTGGCTTAGAGAAGCCCTCCCCGGATGAGTCCCCCATGGCGCCTGTTGCGCCCCCACAGCCTTCAGACTGTAATACAACTGTGAAACCTGCCAAGCCACCGGCGGTGGACAGGTCCTTGAAACCTGGAACATTGAACAACTCGGAAAGTGAGTCCTTTTGCTCCTGCCCTCTTTCATCTTAGCTGCAGCTAAACAGTGTGTCATTCTGGGGGATTCTGCCTAAGATTACCTCCATGATCCCACTCATCAGGCTGTGGTCACAGCTTCCATTTGATCACTCTTGCTAGACTGCATCCCGTATTATGAAAGTGGCCTTTTCGCAAGCCATATAATTTAGCTGGACCTTGATCAGTTTTCGGAAGAACTAATAATATCCTTGAAAGTCCCACCCTCCGCTTTAAAAGGGTTATCCAGAGATTTGAAATGTTCAGTGAACTAGAGACTACTATTGGCCCTTTGTAAAGGACACTTGAAATTTATTTTGCTGCTTTGTAGTGTGACAGCTGACTTTAAAGGGGGTCACTAATGAATTCACACCAGCTGGGCTGAACACGCTCCTGATCCTGAAGGAACTTAGTCAAGGTGAATATTGTATACTAGTGACCCAGTGCACAAAATTCGTGCATATTAAAAGGGGATTAATTAGAGGAAATAATTTAAAATTGCTATTTGCCCTTTCTCTATAATAGAAGTGTCAGAGATGAAATAAAATTAGTAAAATGTATATGAAAGCCTTCTCCTGTCAGAGTCTGAGGCTCACCACGGGACTCAGAGTCAAGTCCCCGTCCACCTACATGCACCTCAAAATCGAGTGAGACCCAGACCCGGCTCCCCACATTGGGCTAGATCCAGACCTGGCCAGTCCCACTCTTGTCAAGCCCTGCTGGGCAGGGGCCATAGCCTTAGTTCCCCTGGCCTGGTGCCAGGATGGGGGGGGTGTGGCCTGAGGTCCCCCAGCCCAGACTGGGGTGGGGTCATGCCTTGAGGTCCTCCGTCAAGCCCCGCCAGGTGGGGGACATGGCTTGAGATCCCCTGTCAAGCCCCACTGGGTCGGGGCACAGCCTGAGTTACCCCAATCCAGTACTGGGGGTGCACCTTGAGGTCCCCTGTCAAGCCCTGCTGAGTGGGGGGCGTGGCCTGAGTGCCCCTGTCAAGCCTCACCTGGTGGGGGGCACAGCCTGAGGATCCCCTGCCTGGCACTGGGGCGGGGGGGAGCAGCCTGAGGTCCCCCTCAGGTCTCTGATGATGGCTTGTTAAGGTTCCTTAAGGGAACTTGGCCTCAGCTGTGGGTTCAGCCATCTTTGTGATGGAGTGATGGTCAATTAGCATATTCTCTCTTTATTAGATAGACTAGTAGGTGATAATTCAGTCTAGCTATAAACACCATTAGCAGTCTTTCCTCCTCTCACTAGTGATGGACTATCTGAGAAAGTAACAATAGCTTCAAATTGATGAGTATACCTTAATTGTTAGAATAGATCGTTTTGGGTAGAAATATGCTTTCAAGTAGTCTTTAAGGAAGTCTGCTTTGCAGAAGATCCACTTAAAAAGATGATGTGAGTGGGCCAGGGCTGCTAGACTCTGAAGCCTGGCCTTTAGGGTTTTTCCCCACATACTCGGCAAACTTATCTCTCACTACCGTTCCCTCACATATAATCTGTGCTTTGGTCAAGTTGGACTCTCATATTCCCAGAACAGCCCCTGGACATTCTTATCCAAAGAGGTTTGTTAACATTTGCCCTGAATCTAAAATCTCCTTTCTCTATCTCTGCCTTCCTTGATTTCTTAACGTTTTCCCAGATCTTCTTCTCTTCAATGAAACTGATTCTAAAAACTCCCAGAGCTCTTATTATCTGTAGAGGTCATCACCTGATAGTACAGTATCAGTCAATAACTAGGTTTTAACTTCTTGCCTGCTACGGGCTTGAGTGTTACTCCTCTCTGTGTTCCCTGTGGGCTGAGCACAGAGTCTGTTTGGTAAGTGATTATTGAATTGAAAGGACTGAGCCAAACCTTAATTCAGAATCCTCAGATACCGGCATCAGACTGCCACGTGACTGCTTGGCTCCTGGTCTGACATTTTAACCTCTATAGTGGTCCAGATCCTGCCTTTAAGTGTGCAGAAGCAGAACATCCTCTTTTTTTTTTTTTTTTTTTTCTTTTTTAATGAAAATGTGTCCGTGAAAGATACCCTCAGATTTTAGCCTTCTGGCTCTCTCCTGGGTTTCTCCCTGTGTTCAGGAACTGGGTTCGTTCTTGGCATTTCGAACCAGGCTTATAAAGCTGCTTTGTTTGCACATGCCTTTTATGAGGACCAGAAGGATTTTTTTATTTTATCATTTTCACTTTCTTCTAAATTAATAAATTCAGAAGTAAGTAGTTACCCATATTACTTTCTGTTATCTAGAATATATTCTGGTATGTTTCTTTGAAAGCCATATCCTTTGATATTTTTATCTAAAATAAAAGAGATATTTAAGATAAAAGTAAAAATTTAACTGAATGAGGAGGTTATTTTTGAATTCTTTGTATTCCTGAATAGCTCAGAAATTTTATATATATATGTTTTTTATTGATTTCAGAGAAGAAGGGAGAGGGAGAAAGAGATAAAAATATAAATGATGAGAAAGAATCACTGATTGGCTGCCTCCTGCATGCCCCTCACTAGGGATCAAACCCGAAACTCGACCAGAATCGAACCCGGGACTCCCCAGTCCGCAGGCTGACACTCCATAAACTGAGCCAAACTGGCCAGGACAGAAGAAACTTATTTTAAGTAGTAGTGTACCCTTGTCTTGAATAATTGAAGTCTTTTTCTTTTTCTTTTAAAAAAATATCTTTGTTGATTTTTAGAGAGAGAGGAAGGGAGATAGATAGAGAGATAGAAACATTGATGAGAGAGGAACATCATTTATCAGCTGCCTCCTGCACGTCCCCGACTGAGAATGGAGCCTGCAACCTGGGCATGTGCCCTGAATGGGAATTGAACCGTGACCTCTTGGTTCCTGGGTTGACGCTCAACTGTTGAGCCACACCAGCTGGGCTGAAGCCTCTTTTCTTCTCTTGAAATCTTGTACTCCCATTGGCTATGGTCAGAGGTTGGAAATGAGACTTTATAACCCTCTTCCTTCTGCCATTTAGGATGAAATTTCCTCTCACTGTCTGAAGTTGGGGGCGAAGAGCAATGATAGGACATTGCTCTCCCAGGGTTGACAGCACTGTGTGCTTGGGAAGTCTCTGCCCGTGGTCTCAGAAATTTCCCTTTTCTCTGTTACAGCTCCTACAATTGATGGACTGCGCCACATGGTGGTGCCCGGGAGGCTTTGCCCACAGTTTCTCCAGCTAGCGAGCGCCAACACTGCACGGGGAGTAGAGACATGTGGAATTCTCTGTGGAAAACTGGTAAAAACAAATGCTTTTCTGAGCTAAGACTTGTTTCTTTCCCCCGTGGCCTCTTGCAGCTCTGACAGAAGATAAGCATGGTCAGTTACTCTTTGTACCAATCCCTTTGCCCAAGGAAACATGGACAGCAGTGTAATGCAATGTCACTTTGAATTTGGTGACCGTATCTAATTGATTTCAGAATCCCTTGAATTTAACTGATTATTTTAATGCCAATAATAAGAAATTCCTACTTCTACACTTGGTAGGAAGATCCAGTCATTATCTATATACCTTTTTTCAAGCACCCGCTTTATGGTAGGACCTGGGGGTATGAACTATGTTAAGACACATATAACATGTGTCCATAGATAGAACCCAAACACTTTGGCAAGGTGGGAGATGCGCACCAAAAGATAAGTAGCATGCTGAATAGTATGTACAATACAAGCACTAAGAATTTGGAAGAAGGAAAGAACATTGAATGGAGGCTCTTACAGACCATTACTCACTGCTGAATGAATAAATACGAGTAAATGTATGAAGTGGAATAGACTCGGACCGAGCCTTAAAGGATGAGAGGTACTTAGAGAAACAGTAACGGGGAAACTACTTAAGACATGAGCAAAGGAAGAGAAATGGTACTGTATGCGGAGCTTCCCAAGAACCACCAGCAGACCCATTTCACTTCAGAGGAAATTCCCATGGGGCTGTGGCCATCTGTGACTAGCAGAGTGCCCCCAAGGGAATGCACATGAGCAGTCAAGGTTGTGAACCACAGGCGGAGGACTCAGGGAGCAAGGTGCAGACTGGGGTGGGATGGGCCTTCACTTATACAGATGCTGAGCTTTTCACTGATGGGACAGAGTGGGGTTGCCTAAGTGCCTGGGAATCATGATGGGCTATTTTCTTCATCGACAGATGAGGAATGAATTTACCATCACCCACGTTCTCATCCCCAAGCAAAGTGCTGGGTCCGATTATTGCAACACGGAGAACGAAGAAGAGCTTTTCCTCATACAGGATCAGTTGGGCCTCATCACGCTGGGCTGGATTCATGTAAGGATGCCGGGCTCTCGGGCAGTCTCTTCTCTCACGATGTTGTCAACACGCTGCCAATTTTTTTCTTAGAGCAAAGTGAATCGCATTCAGAGTATTTAGATGATTATGTCTCCCAAGATGCACACTTAACTTCCCTAGCAAACTTTACTGCTTATGCTCCAGTATTGATTTCTGGGAACTACTCAGGGCTTTACAATTTTTTAATTAATTATTTAAAAAAAAATAAAAATGGACTTGTTTTCCTGATGTCCCAGATTCCTTGTGAGTGTGAATGGTGATGGAATGCTGGCCTAGAATATAAGTGGACATGGACTATGCCTACTTCATACATAGTCTATATGTTCCTAAAAGTATATAGCTCAAAATATTTTAAATGAGCCAAGGAAGTTAATTCAGATGTTTGCATTTATTTTTTCTTAAAGCAACATATACCTTTTGTAAACCAGAAGGGCCACCAATATAGGTGATTTTCAAATATCTGCATATCTTACGTAATCTTTTGGTAATTTTCAGGTAAAAATATAATTCTAAAGATTATTTCTTAATTTTTCTTTCTTTTCATTTTCAATTCCTCACTCTCACAGACCAGGCTGCTTTTCATGTTGTGTGCCAGGGTTACATACAAACACGTCAGCTCCCTTCAGGATTTGGAAAGATGACTCATACTTGTATGTTAGGATTTGGGAAATACCTAGGCAGCAGTCCCTGTGCCTCTGTCCTTTATTCAGTTTCAGTACATAAATAGATGTCTTCCATTGTGTATTCCCATTGGACAGAAATCTTGTTCCTTCTCTGCCAGGGGTTACAGATTTAAGTAAGATATGATTCTGGTTTCATGAAGGAAATTAGACACATAGACAAGTTATAACTCCTCACAGGAGGCAGAATGGGCCAAGTGCCTTGAGGAGCAAAGAGAGCCCTGTGGGATTCAGAGGGGGGAGGGATCACTTGGTATGATTTATTAGAATTTTTACAAGATGGGCCAAGGGAGAGTTCTGCGTGAAAGGGAAGGCACTGGGACAGGCAGACGGTGCCGGAGCATTGAGTTCAGTTTGCTGGAGTTTATGGTTCATGCCAGGAAATGGTAGCAGATAAGCTTTAACGTGATACATTGGGTAGACAAGCAGAATAGTTCTCCTTTTTAGTAAGTTCTGGTAGAGACTCTTAAAGGTTTTTTTCCCCCCCTCTATTTGTTATTCTTTCTTCTTTTATTAACATAGTTGACATTATATTCATTTCAGGTGTACAGTATAAATTTACATTTTGAGTAGAGCAAACAATACTTTAGAAAATTTTTTTAAAAGGCAGTTTTAAGATAAGTTGAGGCAGAGAGATTATTTAAGGGGTTCGTGTGGTTATATATTCTAATTATGAGAGCTAAGATGATGGCATTGTGCTTAGGGAGGAAGAGATGCATGTAGGACTTCAGAGGATGTGGGGAATGAGTAAGAGGAGGATGATGAGTAAAAGTCAGTGATGACTTAGAGATTTGGGGCCTGACTTGTGGGAGTGGCAGTGATCATTTCATAAGCAGAAACAGGGCTCCAGGGGGAGGACTTATTTTGGAAGTGGGATGAATGGTGTTCAGTCTGAGCATGTTGAATGGAAGATACTTGTGAGATATTAAATCTGTGGAGATAGTTGTCAGGCTGTTGGAAATGTGGCTGGAGCTTGGGAGCAAGGCCAAGGCGGAAAGATCTGGGAACCTCTGTATTGAGCTGATCTTGGAAGTCTTGGAACTGGAGGAGAGTGGGGAGCAAGAAGAGATTCGCTGGAAGCCTTGGGGACAGGATCCCTGGGGGACATAGGAAGCAAGCAGGAATGAAGCAAAGAGATGTAAGAGAAAGATGAGCGTAGTGCTAAGGCATAGAAACCAAAGGAGGAGACACGTTTTAAGAAGAAACTTCAGGCCCAGCCTGTGTGGCTCAGTGGTTGAGCACTGACCTATGAATAAGGAGGTCACAGTTAGATTCCTGGTCAGGGCACATGCCTGGGGTTTTGGGCTGGATCCCCAATGTGGGGCATGCAGGAGGCAACCAATCAATGATTCTCATTGATATTTCTCCCTCTCCCTTCCTGTCTGAAATCAATAAAAATATATATATATAAAAACAACAACACAGAAAAGAAATTTCAGGATGTTAACTATGTCACATGCTGCAGAGAGCTCCAGAATGATGAACACCTGGATGAGCCTATTGGATTTGGGGAAGTCACTGGTGACCCCAATTTAGTGGGTTTTAGGCAGCAGTGGGAGTAGATTATAAAACTGAAGGAGTAATGGGGATGGAGGTTATGCTGATAGTGAAATGCACACTACATTTTTGAAGAGCTAGTCCTAAAGGAAAGGAAAGGAAAGAGGGGATTCCTGGTGGCTTCAGGAGTAGCCAGGTCGAGAGAAGATTTGCTTGATTTATAGTTTGTCTTTCTTTATAGTTTTACCACCTAAATGTATTCATAATGAGATATTTAGTTTTGTCTGGTTTTGAACTTTATATAAATAGAACTATATAATATGTATTCTTTTGTGTCTGGCTTCTTTTGCTCAACATTTTAAAGGTTTGTTTCCATTTTTGTTTGTTATTTGTCTGAATGTGTTTTTAACATCAGTGAGCCAGTGGAGGAGATTGTAGAGGGCAGGAAAGACAGGCACAATGGAGGTAGGAAAGTGTCAAATCAAAACTAAACAAAGGACATTCATCTTCACATGGGGGAGAAAACATTCATTCCTCTGAGACAGATTTGAAGGCAGAGAGAAAGAAACAGATTTTAAAAAAATCCTCAGTCAAAGATACGTTTTTTAAGAAATTGATTTTTAGGGAAAGAGAGCAACATCGATGTGAGAGAGAAACATCTATCAGTTGCCTCCAATACATGCCCCAACCAGGGATTGAACCTGCAACCTAAGTATGTGCCCTGATTAGGAATCAGTCTTGCAACCTTTTGGCATATGGGGCAATGCTCCAACCAACTGAGCCACCTGGGCAGGGCAGAGAAATTTCTGAGGTTACATTTGGAGAGGTTGAGGGAAGTCAATTTGATGATCTTGATTTCAACAAGGTGGAGTCTAGAGTCACCATCCAGTGGGAAGGAAACGGGGGTTTAAGAAGTGGAGGAGATGGGAGAAAATTGCTTTAGACTTCAGAAAGAACTTAACCGCAAATGAATAAAAGGATTCCTAAAATCAGTAAGGGTCCAGGTAGGAACAAATTTAGATCCTAAATTGATAGCATTTCCCCCTCATATTTCTGTCCATTCTATCTTAACTTGGGATTAAAAATAAACAAAAGCAGACCATTGATATGCTCACATCTTACAGTTGACAAGAGGAAAATGCAAAAGATCCAACCTGCAACTCAGCTATGTATGTGCCCTTGATCAGGAATGGAATGCTCTAACACTGAGCACACCAGCCAGGGCAAGGCAAGGTTTTTTTATTTAGTGAGCCCCTGATATGTGTCTCTATATTGTCTGTCCAGTTGACCCAGCTTTAGATTGGAGGTCTGGTTGGCCTGCATAGGCTCATCTATTCCCAGTTAGATTTCCTGGCTCTGAGAAGATTTGACTTTGGGTGGTGGGCATGTGATGCAATGTACAGATCTTGTAACATATAAACCCACACCTGAAACCTATGTGTTCATATTGACCAATGATACCCAGTAAATTTAATTAAAAAAAAAAAAAAAAGAGTTTCTGGCTCTGACTATGGGATAAAATGTGTTGGTACAGGCAATTTGTCCTTAGCAGTCTATAGGATCATATTATTGTCAGGTAGAAACTGTTTTTCCCTGTAGTCACCAAAATCCATACCCACCCAGTGAAGATCTGTGTATGGCTTTATGTCACAGTTAACATGTTCCTGCCCTGCAGACCTCTTCCATAGTGTTCTGTGAAGTGGTGCTTCCCAGACAAGGTGGTACAGAAGAATCATTTAATGAGCTATTTATTATTTATTTTTGATCCTCTCCTGAGAATATTTTTTCCATTGAATTTTTTTTTTTTTTTTTTTTTTTTTTTTTTTAAGATAGTGGGAGGGCGAAGGAGAGGAGGAAAGGGAGAAAAATACCGATGAGACACATCAGTTGGTTGCCTCCTGCAAGTGCTACAGATTGTACCAGCAACTGAAGGTACATGCCCTTGGCCAGCCATCCTTTGGTCCATAGGCTAGTACTCTAACCACTGAGCAAACCAGCCAGGGCTAATGGGCTTTTGGAAAAAAGAGAAGTTTTTCTCAGGATGGATGTTTCTAAGGGTGGAGCACAGGGGCCTGTGCTTTCAACAAGGTTTTCAGGAGCTTCATTTTTTGCATGGCAGGCTTGAAAACACTGTTCAAATATTCTGATAGATTTTCTGTGCTTTTCTGTTAGTGAAGGTCAGTGGACTTTTCGAGTCATATGGGGCTTTCTTTTTCTATTGTTCTCTAAAATCACACCCCCTCAAAGGTGAACATGTATCATTATATGGCTGTTCATTTGTATACAAAAAAATGCTTAATTAAACAATTCAATAACTAAGAACAAATGAGATAAACGGAGTGTACATTTAGATGGTGTTCTAACCTCACATTTCAATATCATGGTCCTTTTCCTAAACAAGACAGGTTCCTTTGTGCGACTTCACTGCCCACTGAAACCCCAGTCACCCCTGCTGCCTCTTACATCCTTGGATGATATGCTTTAATCACTGGACAGCCTTTGCCCCTTTTGCCTTAGAGCCCCAGACTCATGTTTGATCTTTTAGCACCTCTGTCAGGAGGAAGAAGCATTCACCTAACTGTGGTTAAGTCCTTGATGTCTACCATGTTGAAGTATTGTTGGGCAGCTGTTCCATTTCAGAACGGATGCCTCTCTGTGCAGAGAGAGCCTGTGAGGAGTTAAATAAGTCGTGATAGTCAGTTAGGAATTATGAGTCTCTTCACATACTCATGTTGGACAACAACTTCAGGTGTACCCCTCATGGCTGCAATGGCTTTGAACTTGAGGAGACTGTGGCCAGCTAGCTGCTGAGAACCTTCCTGCATGGGCAAGGGTTAGCTGTGTATTCTAACTGCGTGTGTCTCTGACTTTTTTCTCTTCTCAGACTCATCCCACACAGACTGCCTTCCTCTCCAGTGTTGACCTACACACACACTGCTCCTATCAGTTGATGCTGCCGGAGTCAATAGCCATTGTTTGCTCCCCTAAATTCCAGGAGTAAGTACTAGAATATGGTTCAGGGGGGCATTATAAGGAGGCAGTGGGGGAAGCCTCAGAGGAAAGAGTGTATCACTAAGACCTTGTTCTCTATAAAATATATAGATTGTGGTATTAATTGGCTGCTCTAAGAGACTTCCTTTAAGTCTCATATCCTGATAAACCTGGTACGCTTGTTTGAAAAACTATCCAAGCAACATCTTAGGTGCTTTTCTTTTCTTCTTCTTTTTTAAAAAACATACTTTTTTTTATTTCAGAGAAGCAGAGAAAGAGAGAGAGAGAGAGAGAGAGAGAGAGAGAGAGAGAGAGAGAGAGAAACAGAGAAACATCAATGATGAGAAACATTGATCAGCTGCCTCCTGCATGCCCCCTACTGAGGATTGAGTCCACAACCCAGGCATGTACCCTTGACCGGAATCGAACCTGGGACCCTATAGTCCACAGCTGACACTTTAGCTGGTTTGACACTGAGCCAAACCACTAGGGCTAGGTGCTTTTCTAAGAAAAGGACATATGAAATTTGAAGTGTTTGACTTGAAGCAATAGGAATTTTAAGAGATTTTATGTCAGATTAGAGAATTTTAAAATCAAACATTATCTCAATGTTAACTTCTTTTTCATTCTAAATCCTGTTATTTACTGTGAATTCCCCTAGCAAACTAGTGTAGTGATGGCTCATTCTCTAACTCTGTTTCATTCACCAGAGAAGAGACTTACCAGCCAATATACTTCTAAGGTGGTCTCAAAATGAGTTCTGCTCTGCTCTGTGTGTGTCTGTGTGTGTGTGTGTGTGTGTGTGTGTGTGTGTGTGTGTGTGTGTGTGTGTTAAGGATTGGGGGGCCACATTTGCTTGATTCTGGGCCTGCTTTTTCTTTTTCCAGAACTGGATTCTTTAAACTAACTGACCATGGACTAGAGGAGATTTCTTCCTGTCGCCAGAAAGGATTTCATCCACACAGCAAGGATCCACCACTCTTCTGTGTATGTATCTATGTAGGAGGATTCAGGGCTGTGCCTCAAGCAGGGCTGATGAGGTGCATTGCCTTTCTGACCCACATGAAGATTAATCTTATCACCTCTCTTCCCAAATCGTCCTATTACATGGGAGGCAGTGTGGGATGGAAACAGATTGGAGTCTTAGCTCTACTATTTAAGAACCATATATCTTTGATCAGGCTACTTAACCTTCTTGTGCCTCAGCTTTCTACCTGTAAATGGGGATGATGATAATAATAATCCCCACTTTGTAGAGTTATTGAGAGGGTTAAATGAGATAATATACAGAAAATACCTAGTGCAGTAAGCTGGCTTATTAACTGTTAGATTTTTTTTTTTTCCCATCAACATCAGTTGCTAAGCCTATCTATATATATAAAAGCCTAAGCAACTGTCTGACTGGTAGTTATGATGCACAATGACCACCAGGGGGCAGACACTCTGACCGGTAGCTATGACGCATACTGATCACCAGGGGGCAGGCGCTCAATGCACCCGGAACCTGAGAGGAGAAAGTCCGATTCTGGGGTGTGTCACTCGAGAACTGCCCTCTCGCAATCTGGGACCCCTCAGGGGATGTCAGAGAGCTAGTTTCGGCCAGATCCCCACAGGTCCGGCCGAGGAATCTCACCTGTGCACGAATCCGCGCACCATGCCTCTAGTGCTTCAATAATAGATTTGAAATCATAGGGAAAAGCCACTTACAATAAGTGAAATATACTTGCTTGTGGAATTTTACTTAGATAATAGGGCTTTATGACCTTCTTAGGAACTTTTTCCCCTAAGTTGAATTCTGTGAATTAAAAGTTTCAGTTGCTGATAAGCTCAGTGTGTTGCAGTATGCCCCTCTAATCTAATGTGATAGTGTCACTCCACTCCATGCTGGCCATGGAGTATTATTTCTTAGGGTTCACTGAAAAGTGACCAATATGGAAAAGAGACTCAGAACATTGTCATGTAAAGGGAACTGGGGTGTTTAGAAGAGAAACTCCGGGGAGAATCTGAGAATTGGCTTTCCCGTTAGAAGAACTGTTGTATAAAAAGATATTGGGTGCATTTCTTATGACTCAGAACTAAAACTTAGATCTCTTGGAATGACAGTTTCCAGCTGAGAATGAGAACAGCTTTCTGACAGATCTGTTAAAAAAAAAAAAAATAGCTTAGTCTGTGGAATTGTGCACCTGAAACCTATATGATTTTGTTAACCAGTATCACCCCAACAAATTCAATAAAAAGGAAAAAATATTAGGTTAAAAAAACCCTTAAAGAAAAGTATAGGTTAGAAAAACAGGTTAGTCCACCTTGGAAAGTAATAAATGTCTAGGGGCCAGGATGTTAAATCAGAGGCTGTGCAATCCCCCAAATGTCAGGTTTTCAGTTAAAAAGATTCCTTTTGCACGTGCTTTATTATCTGGTTGACATAGTGACCCCAAAAAATGGCAATGAAGTCAGCAATCCTTTTAGGTTCACATATGCCTTTTGAATGACTCTGGAGTATAGATACACTTGAAAGATAAACGAGGATGATAGGCTCACATTGGAAGTAATGATTCCTGGACTCTTTACCGTAACTGCCAGTTAAGTAGCAATCTGGCTTCCAAACTGGGAACTGCTATCCAGAATGAGCATTTTAAAGTAAGAAACCGTTAAAAAATGACTTCAGAATGTTCTAGGACTTCCCCTTTCTTTCTTTTTCTCTGTTTCAGAGCTGCAGCCATGTGACTGTTGTGGACAGGGCAGTGACCGTCACAGACCTGCGATGAGATTTCGTCCCAACACCTGTCAAGAACTCTAAAACCACATCAGTGTACTGTAGCCCCTTAATTTAAACTTTCCATGAAGCTCCGGAAGCTTTTTTAGGCAGAACAGAAAGTGAGTATCACCTGGGAGAGAACTCTTTCAATTTCTGGTTTGAAAAGAAATATTTGGATATATATTTTTAGGCAAGTCTGGAAAATAGCACGATCATGCTAAAGCAACTTTTCAGTCGGCCTGTGACTAAAAATGTACTCGAAAGAAGGGTATAAAGGACACTAATATTCTCTTTGTTCTTGTTAACATTTTTTTTTTCTTTCAGCTCTCCTAATTTCTCTGCCAACTTTGTTTATTTTTTACCTTTGGACTAATTAAGGGCATCTTTGCAGAAATTTGGAAGCCATTCAGAAAATCTCTGGGTTTTCCCGTGGTTTGTGGCAATGTTAATAAAGTTTCTTATGAGAGCCAGGGACAGCTCACTATGTCTGACCAGATGGTGAGCTTGACAACCCTGAAGGATGACTTTGTTGGGAATTACTAATATGTTATTTAACAAATATTTCAGGATATTTTTTCCTCTACAATAAAAAGCAATTAACTTATTTGTTCATGTGTGCACTAGAGCAATCTGTTTGATCAAGCTTCGTCTGAACAGGCTGACTAAAAGGTCTAGTTTTGGGGAATATGAAATTTGAGATGTACTGTCATGCAGGTGTGTCCCAGTTCACCTTTAATTGTTCTGTGTTTTTTGTACACCTATTGCCATCATCCAGGACTGTGGAGTCATCTCTGCATTTTGGTGCTGTCTCAACTTCCCCCCTATGTCCTAAAAGCTTTCAGGTGAAGATAATAGAGCCTTTATTTGGAGTTCCAGGTTACACTCCAAATAAATGGTTGCATTCCCATGCCTCTCCCCCCCCCCCCCCCCCAATTTTTTGTGTTGATTATTCTTTTCTGAGTTGAGCAACATTTAGGAAGGTGTTTAAAGCTGCAGTTGATCCTGTGCTTTTCTTTCTATGGGCTTGTGTTCTTAGGTGGCTTGGAAATAATGGTATTGTTTGTGACCCACAGGTGGGGGCAGAAGAGTAAAAAGTTTGGATAGGAGAGGAGTGATTTCTTTTTATATCAAAATTCTGTGGTCGAAAGTCTGTAAATGTATGACGTTTTGCTTCATTTGAAAATGTTATGTCCTGAATATGTTCAGTCTTTATCCCTTAGGTTAGTGGTCGCGGAGCTTTCCCCCTAAAAGCCAACTCTCTCTTTTCTTGTTCTATTGCAGCGGTTGTCAACCTTTCTAATGCTGCGACCCTTTAATACAGTTCCTCATGTTGTGGTGACCCCCAACCATAAAGTTATTTTCGTTGCTACTGCATAACTGTAATGTTGCTACTGTAATGAATTATAATGTAAATATCTGTGTTTTCCGATGGTCGTAGGCTCTACAGCAGTGGTTTTCAACCTGTGGGTCGCGAGCCTAAGACCATCGGAAAACACAGATATTTACATTACGATTCATAACAGTAGCAACATTACAGCTATGCAGTAGCAACAAAAATAATGTTATGGTTGGGGGTCACCCCCACATGAGGAGCTGTCTTAAAGGGTCATGGCATTGGGTTGAGAACCACTGTTCTATTGGGTACCTAACCTGCAGGATATTGGAAGTTATTTCTCCTGCAGTGTTAGCGTGGGTAAGAATGTGGGGCCAAGCGAGGAAGAGTGCCTCACCCGTCACATCCCCCTTTCCCGGGCGTGGCCCGAAGCGGCCTGGATGGTTCTGCCTTGCCCTAACAGTCCTGCTGCTGCCTGGTCCTGTACAGTAAATATGAACACATTTTGAATAATGACCTTAAAGTTTATACAATTTAAAAATTAATAAGTTAATTATAGAAGGTTACCTTTTAGAAGGTAAAAGAAGGAAAGCATGAGAAAATAAATACATTATCACTTATCTTTATTTAGAAATGAATGATAATGCAATATCGCAAATTAAAACTTCCGGAATTTCTACATATTGTACAGAAGGAAATTTAGAACTATAGGTGCTTTAATTATTTAATAATGAAGAATAAAAAGATATGAATTAAGCATTTGCTTCAAATTACAAAAAAAGAATAATGAAATATATGAGGAAAGCCAAGAAGAGAGAAGCATTAAAGCATATATTACTGAATTTAAAAAATAGAAGAATTGATAAGTAAGTTCATAATGTCATTTAAGAAAAAAACACACAATAAAATTGCCAAAGACAGAAAAAAAAAAAACTAGAACAAAGATACAACAAATGCATGTTATAAGAAAGTTCTACATGTAGCTACTTAATTTGCTACACAATGAAATAGATGACTTTCTAGTAAAAAAAAAAATTATTTGTGAGAATGAAACCACAATTATCTTACGTAAAAGACTAAAAAGTCAATATTAATGAAGTGGAAAAGAGTTGCAGGTATTAACTCCAGGTGCTTCTATGAGTGAATTCTTTCAACTTTCAAGGAACAGATTATCATTACACCATTTTTTTATTGTTAAAAAAATCACATTATCTAAAATTTGCCATATTAGCCAAAGCCGGTTTGGCTCAGTGGTAGAGCGTCGGTCTGCGGACTGAAAGGTCCCAGGTTTGATTCCGGTCAAGGGCATGTACCTTGGTTGCGGACACATCCCCGGTGGGGTTGTGCAAGAGGCAGCTGGTCGATGTTTCTCTCTTATCGACGTTTCTAGCTCTCTATCCCTCTCCCTTCCTCTCTGTAAAAAAAAAAAATCAATAAAATATATTTTTAAAAAATAAAAATAAAATAAAATAAAATTTGCCATAATAATCTTTTTAAGAGTACAGTTCAGTAATTTGTTGAGAAGGTATTGATGCCCCCATAAAACGCTCCCACTGATATAATACATCACGGAAGTAGGTCAAAGGAAAATAACAGACCTGGGAGTCTCTCATAGATAATAAAAGTATTTGAAGATGAAAATTGACATTCTTTTTTTTTGTTGTTCAGAGAGGGAGAGAGAGAGAGAGAGACAGACAGACAGACAGACAGACACATCAATGATGAGGGATCGAGTCTACAACCCGGACATGTGCCCCTGTGCACCTGACCTGGACCGAACCCAGGACCCTTCAGTCCACAGGTGGATGCTCTATCCACTGAGCCAAACCTGCTAAGGCTTATTCTTTACTTTTAAAGCTCCCTTAAAAGTTAGGAAAGAAACAAGCTTCATTAATGTGATAGAATATATTTTCTGAAACAACACCCAGCATAATTTTTTTTTCTTGCGCAGGGGCCATGCTAATCTCTGTATCGTTCCAATTTTCGTGTTTTTAAAAATATATATATTTTATTGATTTTTTTACAGAGAGGAAGAGAGAGAGATAGAGAGTTAGAAACATTGATGAGAGAGAATCATTGATCAGCTGCTTCTTGCACACCCCCTACTGGGGATGTGCCTCAACCAAGGTATATGCCCCTGACAGGAATCGAACCCGGGACCCTTCATCCGTAGGCCGACGCTCTATCCACTGAGCCAAACTGGTTTCGGCCAATTTCCATTTTTAATAAAGAACTAATACTGTCAGGAACAGACCCATCCTAACTACTGTTAATCCAACAGTGTCCTGAAAGGGTCATCCAGCCGCTATCATGACGCAGGACAGAGGATTTACTACTGGAAATGAGACAGCTTTTGGAGGCAAACTAAATATCTACCTAGAAATCTGAAGATAATCATGAGAAACAGACCTACTGGCTGGTATGCCTCAGTGGTTGAGGGTCGACCCATGAACCAGGAGGTCGTGGTTTGATTCCTGGTCAGGGCACATGTCCAGGTTGCTGGCTTGTTCCCCAGTGGGGGGCAGCTGATGAATGATTCTCATCATTAATGTTTCTGTCCCTGTCTGAAATAAATAAAATTTTTTTTTTAAAAATAAGCATTTCCCTGAATACAAGGGAAGTTAGAAATATTTTTAAAAATTGGGGGAAATTTTATTACTAGATAATTCTTATTATAAACCTATAAGTTAAAATAATATCATACTGGTGGAGGGCTAGACTAAGTACTAGTATGTGCAAACTTTCATGCTGAAGGAGATAAAACTTGAAGAGATTAAGTTGTGGAAGCCCACAGAACTCTAAATGAGTGGTCTCAGACGTCCAAACCACATTCTGAACCACAATGCAGTACTGCCCTAAAATACAGAGACACACGCATTAGGAAAAACTATGAGAAATGAGTACACCAGGATATTAGTTATCCGTAGGTGATGGAATTATGGCATGATCTCTCCTCCCCCTATACTTTGTTGAATTTTCCAAATATTCTACAGAGAACACTTTTATAATTGGACAGGAAGGACAATTCTCCTTATTTTCAGAAACCAAAGCTCCACTGCCCCTTCAATGTGGGAATCCAGCCAAGACCTTGCTCTTGGACAGCATCAGTGAAAGGGCCTTGGGAATGCTCCTGGGCGCAGCGGCGAGGCCTGTCATATATGGAAACCTTCCATGGGGATGACCTCACCACTGGAATTCATGCAACATAAACCTTGCCTGTGAGAGCTAGCAGAGACTGCACAAAAACCTGAAGGGTGAGGCGTCGAGAAAGAACTGACCCAATGAGAGAACTTGTGGCCTTAGGACCTGAGCCCCTGGGGAAGCCATTCTCCTGTGACCGGTTCCTGGGGAAGGATTACTTTCCCTACCTCACCCTCCTCCAGATAAGGAGCTCCCACCATGGCCAGGGTTATTTCTTTTTCCTGGGCCTGAGTGAGAACGTGAGATGTTCCTGTTGTTAGACAAATGGGAATGGGTTATTGATGATGAAAGAAGTAGAAACATCCCCTGGACTGAAAAAAAAAAGAGACCGTTCTTAGCTATTCCTGTCATTCTTTGTAATTAGCTTCTCCATCCCTGGCAGTCTTGTATTTTTTTTTTTTTTAACCTCATCTACTCGATATTTTTGCATTGATTTTGAGGGGGGCGGGGAGAGATTGGTTGCCTCTCACACGTGC